GGGAAGAAGAAAAGAATTTTTTTTTTCTTTTAAAAAAACCGAATCCAATTTTTTTTTAAACCGGTCTTCAAAATTTAAAATTTAAAATTATGCGATTCGCCGGAAAACCGATCGGAACTGTCGGTTTTGTAACCAGATCGGAACCGGAACAGGAACCGGAATCGGACCTTTTCGGTTCGATTCCAATTCCAATTTTTCTGGAACCGGAACCGCCGGTTCCGGAACCGTGGCCATGCCTAGGAACACCTTCTAAGAGCACAACCTGGAGTAAGCTACTTGACAGGAGTCATGAAAGATCCCATCATTTAAACCTGTAGAGCTAATACTAAGACCACAGTTTTAATATATTGTTAAGGCAATCGAGCTTGGAGTAACTTTTGGAGGGCATGCAAACGGTATTAGAATCACTTGATTCTTTTACTCGGTTTGGTTCATTAAGAAGTTAGGTATTTTGTGGTGAAGTTTAAGCAATTTATCTATTATAATTTAAGTGCGCCGCTATAGAGGAATTAAGTTTCAAATTATGTATTTTGGCTTTTCTTTATACTTTATCATGAATCATTGAGGGTGACATGCCAATATTTAGAATATGTGCTGAGCAACGACGGAGCCAAAATTTTGTAGAAGCCAGGGGGCAACCGTCCTCCAGTCCCCCTGCCTCCGTGAGTGGTGCTGAAGTGCTCCCCTGGTTGTGCGGCGGCGGTTGAAGATTATATATGTCCAATTAATAATTAAATTAAGATATGCAATTGTTATTTTATAGCCAATTGTTATTTTAAATATATATATAATACTATATACTATATATTATTATATATATATTATATATATATATATAAATATATAATATATAATAATATATATATAATATATAAATTTATATTGTATAAGTAAGGGCAAAATAGATAAATTAACTTAATGCATGAATAATGTTAATGATATATAAATTTATATTGTATAAGTAGGGCAAAATGATAATTACTTATGCATGAATAATGTTAATGAGAAGTTAAGAAATATTACTAATTATGTTGATGATGAAATGAACGATTCTTGATAAATACTCGTTATATGTGGTATTGTAATAGAGAATAAATCGAGGTGTGAACTCTTAATATGTAACTTGATAACTTATTTTTATTAACGAAGAATGTGTAGTTGAGAGGCTGAAATCTGATGATAATCCATGATATTGAAAGTTTGGATAGGAATAATTAAATATATATTCTATAATATCCATTGAACTCTTGTGTCTGAGTTATCTATTGAGTGTTGGTTCAGGTTTTTATTTAACTTTCTAAGACATAATAGGGTATATTGGAGAAAGTTTGATAGTTTGAATATAATAAGCTGGTTAGTTAAATTTTTACTGAAGATGTCTTTATTTTCTATTTAATTCTTCAATAAAAAGTTCTTCTTTGCTGATATAAAAATAAAAAAAAATAAAAAAGATTGTTGTTCAAATATTTAAAATTACATATGACCACTAATATAAATGGCATTTGTGATTGAACTACAATTAACTGCACACCAGTAATGAATCTTAAAATTGGGCCGTTATATGAAATAAATTGCAATTTTATAGGGTTTGCAAAGGCCAAATTAATGCTGCGTTTAGTACCCACGTTAGATCTTTTTTCAGAGCCATACCACAACCATGTGAAAGACAAGGAAGGTCACTGTCTGAGTTAGCCATCTAATCATCCAAAAGCGAAACACCACAAAATAATAATATTGCCAGAACATGCCACAATCCATACCAGGACTCCCATTTGACAATCCACATGGCTTTGCAGGGCCAAAAAATCAAATAATAATTGCATTTGCATAAAAGCTTCTTCTAGTTTTGACAATCCAAAGAAACCTACCAGTCTTCTGGACCTTTTATTTCCTGTTGAATTGCGTTTTTGGGCTTGGAAACAAAGCCGAAATCTTCACATAAATTTTCTTTTCAAAGGCTTTTGGAATGAATTTTATTTGTCATTTTCAACCATTTTCAGTTTCAAGTTTGCATAGAAAACTTTATTAATCTGAAATTTCTGCAGAGCTTCAATTTTAACTCCTATTTTCAAAAATGGTTGTTAAGCCAATATGGTTTATCCATTCATCCATCCAATTGGAACGTGAAGATGAAGTAGAGGAGCATGCCAACAGATAGTAGATAGCTATAGGGGCGACTAGTAGTTGTAGGTTGGTTTGGGCAGGGGACCAGGTTGCCAATCTGCAAGTAATACCAAATTGCAACTTCCTGTCAACGGCAGAGGTTTTCATTTTCTTTTTAATTTTGACTTTGCAGGAGTGTAGTTGATTGGCTAATATGGTTTGCACTTTACCATATTAGAAGCTTAAGGCTTTTTGCTCTCATCCTCTTAATGCAAGTTTTATCCTTATACAAAAGTGATAAGGTATGCCTTTTATATATCCCTTATACAAAAGTGTAAGGTATGGCCTTTTATATATATATATATATATATTAATATATATATATATATATATATATATATATAATAAGATATAAGTATATAATATCATTTTATGTTTCTTAATAGAAAAGAAATTTACAATTAAGTATTGAAATTAATAATTTTTCTCCAACTAAGTGTATGAAATTTCTCGCTAAAAAATCAAGATGAACTATTTTTCTTTTTTCACTGGTCTTTATTTTATTTGTTTTTCTAGATTATTACCTTTTTTTGTCTTACTTTCTGTTCTTTTTTTATATTGTTTTGGAATTTAAAAAATGAAAGGAATTTTTTTGAACTTTTTTAAAAGAACAAATATTAGATAATAAAATAAAATTAAAAAAAAAAAGATGAATTGAATTGATATTTGTGGTTGATATTATTTATTGAATAAAATATCATTAATTTTCTGGTAAAAGAATTGGTGAAATGTACTTGATTGCAACTTTTTAATAATTCAAACACTTCATTGTAAATTTTTTATGTTTAGATATACATCAAAATAAAAAAAAAAAAAAAGAAGAGAAAAACATTAAAAAAAAAAAAAAAGGAGAGGAGAGCTCAGAGGATTGCAAACATAATCTTGAGTGAGCTACCCCACTAGCATCATGGGTGAGCCATAAAGCTATCCCACCAGGAGGCTCTAACAACACATGGGCCTCCAAGGGATAATTTCTAGCAAACTTTGAAAGATAATTAGCACTAAAGTTAGTCTCTCTCTCTTAATGAGGTTTTTGATTGCCCAAACCAGTTGCTGCACTCCTCCAGAAGACGTCTTCCCCGTTAATAAGCTGAACCTCTATTGTATTGTCACATTCAACATGGATATGAGAAATGCCTAAATGCTTTGCTATATAAATCCTCTTTACTTTTATTATGCTCGATTCATATTATCTTATATTGAAAATTAATGTCAAGCATGCTTTATATATATTTATATAGTATATATACTATAATATAATTTATTTTATATATATATATATATATATGATATATATATCTTGATTATGTATTTATAGTTAAAATTCTGACTTAGTAATTAAAAAATTTTAAGTGCATGATTAATGATATTTTAAAATTGTAATGTCTATAGTGATATATCAAATCCAAAACTAAATTAAAGTATAAAATTGATAGCAATTCTTTTTGAAACTCGGGTTCCTGCAGGCATAGATATTTGTCACAAGAAAAACAATTAGGATAGAACAAAAAATCAAAGGCACCTCGTAAAAATCAATGTATATATCTTGATTATGTATTTATAGTTAAAATTCTGACTTAGTAATTAAAAAATTTAAGTGCATGATTAATGAATATTTTAAATTGTAATGTCTATAGATGATGATATCAAATTCCAAAACTAAATTAAGTATAAATTGATAGCAATTCTTTTTGAACTCGGGTTCTGCAGGCATCAGATATTTGTCACAAGAAAACAAATTAGGGATAGAACAAAATCAAAGGCACTCGTAAAATCATGAAAAGAATCACAGGAGAGGAACATACGTGACAGGGGTAATAGAACCATCTCAATAAGATACATGATCATGGGAATTATCCAACCGTAAGAAAAATAAGATAATCACACATAAATTAAACCATGATCCAACTGAGAATAGTAAAAAAAAATGAATTCCAACGACAACAATGAAATCCCACATAACACAAAATGGAAAAATTGGAAATGAAAGAACCACAACCAATCAATTCATACTCCAATATTTTCCTTCAGAATTCTGGACTTGGTACTGGTTCATGAGTGCGAGAAATGAAAATTGTTTCGTAGATAAGTCCGGCTAGTCCACCTCCAATCAAAGGTCCTGCCCAGTAAACCCAATGATGAGTCCAGTCCCAACTAACCAAAGCAGGTCCAAATGACACGGCTGGGTTCATTGATGCTCCTTCGAATGCTCCGCCGGCTAAAACGTTGGCTCCGACAATGAAACCAATGGCTATGGGCGCAATAGTCCCCAGTTGACCCTTTCTAGGATCAATGGCTGTTGCATATACTGTGTATACTAGACCGAAGGTCATTACTATCTCGAACACTAGTGCGTTCCACACATTCACCCCGGAGGATAATGCAAATGCCGATGTTGTCTGCAATTTTTGTTAAAAATACTTTAAAATAATTCATAATCTGCTCAAAAAAATAATATGCTTGTGAAACTAATAGGAGGAAACCCTTGACCTCACTTATGACGAAAAGTATCGAGCCACTAGTAAATTACTGTCTTTCTGTTATGAAAAAAAGCACTATATTTGTTTATGGTAATACAACTATAAAAACTAAGTCTAGACAGGTAGTTACTCACCATGCCATGAGTTGAAAACTTAAGCAACAAGCAAGCAACAGTGGAACCAAGGAGCTGAGCAATCCAATAGAGAATGCCACGAAGGAGAGTGATATTACCACCAACAAAAGCACCAAAAGTGACAGCAGGGTTCACGTGGCCGCCGGAGATATTAGCTGCGGTAGCTACTCCAATAAAAAGACCAAATGCATGTGCTAATGAAGCCATAATAATTCCAGCCGGTGTGCTACTCCCATCATCCGTCAGTTTGTTAAAGGCCATACCAGAACCTTCTCCGGCGAAAACAAAAATGGCCGTACTGATGAACTCCGCTAATGCAGCCTTAATCGCACCAGGATGCGTAATATCTTCATGGGGAAGACCGACAGCTATCCGAAAATTGACCGGCGGCATTTTGGTTGGTTAATCCTCAGGCAGTGTTGATCTGATGAGAATTTCTTGAAATGGAAACGACCAGACTTATATTAAGCTTTTGAGGCCATGAAAGACCTGTATATCCAGTTTCCGGTGACATTCATTATTGGGGACCAAGCATACTGTACATCCAGCTCATCATTCACCTCTAAAGATGTATTACTGACACGTGGCCGTCCTTGATAAGGACCAAGTAGCTTGTGTTGAGCTTCGGTTATGTACACTCGTAGGTATACTGACCTCCGTCAGAATCCCAAATTGACCGTTTCAGATTTTTACTGTTTTACAATAGTTTAAAAAATATCGAAGTCCGTTAAGACCCAGAATGATTACAAATATGAAATGTAATATTAATATTTTAATATTTAATATTTATTCTGAATTCATTTTTAAATTCTTAATAAAGAAATTATTTACATGTACAAATATTTTTAATCATCATGGGATAATTCATTTTCCATGATCAATTATTTCGTTGTTAATTATTATTTCAAACTAGAGGAAAACGTTAACTATGTATTTAAAATTTTTGAGCTTATTATTGATTTTTAATTATAAATAAATATAAATTTATTTAACATTTTAATAACAAAATCATTTACCACTTGAAAGAATACAACAATTTATACTATTTTAAATTTTAGTTTTATTTGTGCATACACGTTTGTTAGAATTTTCTTTTGTAATAGCTAGAACCACACACTTAAAAGTGAGTTGCTCTAAATAGAAAAAGAGCTTTATTAGATTTAAAACAATAACCCAAAAGGCACGTATATCTATTAATAATTTATTGTTGTAGAAGCTTATTAATAGTATTATCACCCAAAGAAAGTAAATGGATTTTGAAAACTCACTAAAGATATAAGTTTGTTGGGTTATTATAGGAAATTTTTTGTTTATACAACAAATTTTTTCTATTATTGCCAACAATCTATGATTAATGCATACCCTAATATATGTGGTTGGAAATTGTTGGCTCTAATTAATTCATTACAATAGAGTAACAGGAAACATTATATATACACACACATTAAGGATTAAGATAATCTTTACGTTAAGATCATCTCATGTTTAAGCAAGCATAATCTTTTGTGTTTGATACAATCTCAACATTGGATTTCAGGTGAACGATTGTTCATTTTGAATTCAAGGATTGAGATTGTACGAACATGATAGATTGTGTTTCTTCAAACATTAGATAATCCACATCTATTCATCTAGACCAGTTTTCTCAAAATCATCTAGAATTTGTTTATTAGTATTTTCTCTTTCTTTATTCTTCTTTTTTTTTCAGATCGAATCTGAAATTAATCAATCATGTCTTTTCTGGACTTTGATGTTATGAAAAACTATCCTAATACGACTTTCACTTGCTTTCTGATACCCCCAAAGACTAATTCTCATGGCATTTGCGCACACATAAATGATCCGGCAAATATGCTAACATACACAATACCCCTTTTGGAGTTGCAGATGGCTGTCATTTTCATCTTCAACTACGTAATCCATTATTTTCTCAAGCATTTTGGAGCCTCCACATTTGTCTCCAGCATGATTGTATGTATACTAGATTCCCTGCCTCTCTTTCTCTTATTTAAGTTGATTGTTTTTCCTTTTTTCTTTGTTTTTAGGTTTAACAACTGTATTGATTTTCGTGAAACAGGGTGGTATAATTCTTGGCCCGACATTTCTTGGGAGATATAACATAATGAGGAAAGTGATCTTTCCTCCTGACAGCCAAGATATAATACGTTCATTTGCACTATTAGGGTTTAGCATGTTCTTGTTCCTAAGTGCAGTGAAGATGGATGCGGGAATGATTCTTAATACAGGAAAGGATGCCTTGTCCGTCGGAATTTCATCTGTAATGATCCCTGTGATTTTTGGTGTAGCTCACCAAGAATTGACAACACACAAAAAGGAACTCAAAGGAAGTTGGACTTCTATGATAATGACATCTCTTACAAACTATCCAGTCACTGCCTATCTTATTGGCGATCAATTGAAAATCTCAAATTCAGAACTCGGCCGATTAGGACTATCCTCAGCACTAGTTGCAGACATATTGGGCATATTTACCGCAGTTATTCTAGAAGTAATAAGGTCTTCCACAATGACTAGTCTTGCAACAAGTGTTCTACCAATTATTGCCTTTGTCCTTGTTCTGATATTCATAGTCCGACCTGCAATGTTTTGGGTGATTAGAAAGACTCCGGAAGGGAAGCCTATTGACATGAACTACGTTAACATCATTTTGGCACTAGCCTTAGGTTCTGAAGTGTATTTCCATAATTTTGGATTATATAAATTCATGGGTCCTTTTATCTTTGGTTTGGTTGTGCCTGCTGGAGCTCCACTAGGTTCTGCTTTGGTAGAAAAGTTCTCACCCTTTACTTGGGGAGTCCTTTCACGAATCTTGATTACTACATCAATGATGAAGGCAGATTTAACTCTTATTGTAAATGAATTTCCCAGGTTGAAAACGTACATCTCTCTCATATTCATGACCTATGGTTTCAAATTCCTGGCGTGTTTGGCACCTCCATTGCTTTCAGGGATGCCATTAATCGATTCTTTTGCACTTTCTCTCATTATGAATTACAAAGGCATTGTGGAGCTATGTGGATGCATTATTTTCAAGGAAACTAAGGTAATAAGTGAAGAACTTTTTGCCCTTGAAGCTTTATACATTCTTTTTAGTGCAACTGTTTATCCAATCCTTATTAAATGCCTGTACAACCCATCAAGAAAATATGTTGGCTATAAGCCGAGGAATATCGTGAGTTTAAAGCCTCGCTCTGAGCTCCGAGTTCTGGCTTGCATTCACAGACCTGATAATGTACTTTGTGTCTCAAGACTGCTCGACGCATCAAACCCCAGCAAAGAAACTCCTATAAATGTTAATGTACTTCACCTAATCAAGCTTGTTGGTAAATCAACTCCTGTCCTAGTATCCCACTCAAAGCAAAAGCCAACTTCTAACTCTTTCTCTCAAACTATCATCCATGCTTTCGGTCAATATGAGAAAAAGCATTGGGATTCTGTCTCAGTCCAGACCTTTACAGCAATATCTTCACCGGAGCTAATGTATGAGGACATATGCACCCTTGCTCTTGATAAACTCACATCCCTTATACTAATGCCGCTCCATCTAAAATGGTCTCTCCATGGACAAATTGAATGCGAGGATCCAAATTTAAGGGCTCTCAACTTTAAGGTCCTCGAGAAAGCCCCTTGCTCTGTAGGAATCTTTTTTGATCGTGGCAGGCTTGGACGACAAGCCTTAAGGGCACCAGAATCAGTTCTCTCTCTTTGTTTGATATTCATCGGAGGCAATGATGACCGCGAAGCCTTGAGTTTAGCCAAACGGATGGCTAATAATAATCCAAATGTAAACCTAACAATCCTCCATTTCAAAGCTAATAAAGAAGGTGATACAGAGAGAATAATAGAATCTGAGGATGAAATTCTGGATGATGTAGCATTGGAGGATATGAAGCGAATTACTACTAGCAAACAATCTATAGTATTTAAAGAACATGTAGTGAAGGATGGACCAGAAACATTATTAGTTATTCGTTCCATTGCAAATGACTATGATCTTTTCATAATGGGAAGACGTTATGGCAGTGTGTCTTCTCAAACAGATGGTCTATCAGAATGGAGTGAACTTCCAGAGTTAGGTATTGTTGGAGACTTTTTTGCGTCCAGTGATCTCGACACTAGAACTTCTGTTTTGGTTATACAACAACAAAAGCAAATTAAGGGCATCTGATGGATGAAATTTTATATTGATGGAAATGAAAACGCAGAAACATGGAAACATAGGAACGATACAGGGAAACAATATTTTGAATATAACTATACACTAAGAAGAAACAACATTTTGAATATAACTGTGCACTAAGAAGGGGTATTTTTATAGGGGAAACGACTATGAACGTTTCCGAAAATATGAGAGTATTGTTAGGACCTGTATTGAATACAATTGGATTTAATTGAAATAGAATTGTTACTTTAGGATGAATTGTAAATTGTTCTTTTCACATATCAATTATAGGAAATTAGCTACTTACCACTTCGTGTATGGAAGCATCGTGCACCAAGCATAACTATTATTTCAAAATTTTGTTACTGTGTTGAACTCTTTTGTCCTTTTTTTTCCCTCATGAATAGTTTATTTTACATGCCTTCATTAGATTGGTTTGATGTATGAATGAGCTCATATATTATGTATAGATAAGTGTTATTCTCCTTTGTAATACAAAATAATAAAAAAAAAGAGTAAAATTAGCACTTAAATTATAGTCAAATTAATATATAAACACCTCTGTTTTTAAATATTAATTGAAGTTGTACAAATTTTTATGTACCAAGTGCTGCAGAGATAGAAAGATGAGCATCTAGATTAGTTATCAATTATAAACCGTTAAATAAAATATTGCAATCAATAATAAAACATCCAATGCCTAACAAAAAAAATTTATTAAAAGGATACATAATGCAACTATTTTCTCAAACTAAATTTGATATGAAATAAGGATTTTGGCAAATTCAATGTGTTATATATATATATATAATGTTCTTTTCGGTATTATAAATAGAATGTTATACCATTTGGATTAGAAAATTTATCTTCAAAATTTCAAAATATTATAAATGATATTTTTAATTACTATTAAGAATTTTCAATTGTTTATATAAGTGATCTTTTAATTTATTTTATAAGTATCGATGACATTTTTCTCGTTGAAAGAAATTTTATGATATCGTTATACGAAATGAATTTTTAATAATGGAGATATTCAAATGGAATTAGGTGCCAAGATTTAAAATCTTGATCGTCTATCCTGTAGGATACTTGATCATTGTACTACTTAAGCTAGTTCTTCTTTTATTTTTATTTTTTCAATTTTTCATATTTTATCCAAAAGTGAGAGTATTATTAGGACCTGTATGGAATATAATTGGATTTAATTGAAAATAGAATTATTACTTTAGGACGAATTGTAAATTGTTCTTTTCATATATCAATTATTGGAAATTACTTGCTTATTCCTCATGTATGAACCACCCGTACACTAGGAATAATTATTATTTCAAAATTTTATTATTGTATAGAACTCTTTTGCCTTCTTTTGCTCGTGAATTATTGGTTATTGATATCTTCGTTTATCTTAAATGCATTTGTTAGATTGGCTTGATATATGAGTAGGCTCGTATACTAGGCACAAATTACTGTTATTTGCAATTGTGATATGGAAAAAAAAGTAAAATTGACCCTTAAATTATAATTAAATTGACATAAGGACCTCTCTTTTTAAATAATTATTATTAAATCTCCTTGAAGTTGCACAACTTTTTATGTCCAAAATGCTGCAAAAACAGAAAGATGAATGACTAGATTAGTTATTAATTATAAATCATTAAATAAAGTATTACTATTAATAAAATACCCAATACATAACAAAAGAAATTTATTAAAAAGATTACATAGTGCAATTATTTTTTCAAATTAAATTTGATATGAAATAAGGATTTTGGCAAATTCAAATATATGAGTTAGATAAATATAGAATTAGATTTAATGTTCCTTTCGGACACTATGAATAAAATGTTATGCTATTTAGATTAAAAAATGCCCCAAATTTCAAAATATTATAAATGACATTTTTAACGACAACCAAGAATTTTCAATTGCTTATATAGATGATCTTCTAATTTATTTTATAAGTATTGATCAACATTTTTCTCGTTTAAAGAAATTTTATAATATTGTTAAACAAAATGGATAGTTAATAATGGAGATATTCAAATGGAAATTAGGTGTCAAGATTTAAAAATTTAATCGTCTATCCGGTTGACACTTGATCATTGGACTACTTAGCATCTATTCGAACAAAATTAATCGTTTTGATAGCTGTTAGTTGTTTTAGTAGTGTTTAGTTGTTAGTTGTTTGAGTAACTTTTCATAAAACATTAAACTAAACGTTATATCGATTAACTTTTTATAAAACGTTATCTTAACTTTAAAAGTTAATTCAAACGTTATGTTATCGAATACTATAAATAATAGTGTTTAGCCTTGTCAAAACGCTAAAAGCTACTTAAACAATTGTTCCCGAATAACGCTTGAAGCTAGTTTTTCTTTTATTTTTATTTTTTCTACTTTTCATATTTTATCCAATTTATCACTCAAAATAACCTATACGTTCATACAATTAAATCATTTTAATTAGTGAGTTAAACAAAATTGAATGAAGCTATTAATGTGGCGATTATGAATGGTTCTCTACATTTTTTTATCATTATATCCATGTCCTTCAAGAGCTCAATCTCGTGAGTTCTGAGATAGACTTGCCGGCGTCTTCGCCTCAGTTGCATTCCAAAACATCCGAACATAAAACATGGAGTTGTCAATTCCATCTAATGTTTAAGACGGAACGGGATGGAAATTTGAGTTTAAAGAATTGGATGGAATAGATGAGGTCGGGTCGGAAATCAATTAGGATTAAATTATTTTTAATAAAAAAAGATAAAATTACTATATTAACAAAATTCATCTATATAAGTGAATTAAAAAAAATCAAATAATTAATTTCAATCATTGATGACCTACTACTAAAGTTAATATATATTAGAAAATTTTTAAGTAGTTACTTTTTAGTTAATAAAAATATTAAATATAATAAAACAAAATAATGCAAAAATTATATATAATTTGACTTTATATATATTGTATGAATTTTAATTCATCGTTGTTTTTGTTACTGTTATTTTTAAGCTGATTTGATTTGATATTTACTTAATTAATCATGAATATCACTTGAAAAATAAATAATGATAGCATTAAAAATAATCAATAATCTAGTAATCAAATTAATTGAAGTTTATATTTTACTTGTATTGATTAGTCTTTCCATTTTTGTTTAATAGAAAAAACTTATTTAAAAGGATTTACTTAACATATACTAAAGGAAAAACCTATATTAAAAAATACGTTTAATTAATTGATTATTTCATATTTAAAAAAACACATACTATTATTTTTTTTATTATTATTATTTCCTTGTAATTGGTACCATAAAAAAACTAAAAATAAAAATGATGAAAAGTTGTTTATGGATATAATTTGAAATTCATAAAAAAAAAAAGACAATTAAAATTTTAAAGATAAAATGAGACGAAACTACCTGATTTATTTTATGGGACAAGACTTGAATCAGTATGAATCGATTTTAATCAAAGAAACAAAATCATTCCATAATTACTTTCGGAACAAGAATATTAAATAATATCGATTTTTCTCAGAATAGTTTTTGAAAACGGGTCGGGTTGGAGGCTCAAGATTCCCCCAGTTTTGTGCACACCCTAACATGTATGTAATTAACAAGACCACATATAAATTAATTGTCTCTTTAAATTGCAGGTTGTAGGTGGAGACTTTTGCCTATCTCATGATATTTATCATTTCTTTGAATCAGTAAGAACAAAACAACTGGGATTCTGCATCTATGAAACTCTACTTCTACTGCAATATCTCCAGTCACTTCAACGAATAGCAGATGGTCTATCCATGCAAGTATTGACGATGAAAACAACAGTTTAAGGATTGTAAATATTAAGGTCCTTGTAAAGGAACCCTTGTATTATTATTGGGATCTTTTTCAACCATGGCAAACTTGAACAGCGAACCTCATTGGAAATAGGATCACCAATTGAGTTCCATCCTCGCCTATGCAACCAATTTCCATGGCTATGAACACCTTAGGGGTACTTGTGATCGCAAGGCTGGATTCAAGCACATGCCTAAAAATCATCCGTGTTATACCAGAGGGCGATAAAATTGCTGACTTTTTGAAATGGAAGATTTCAAGAAAAGCATCAATAGTGATAGATCCGAGTCAAATGTAACAAAGAGCAAGTGATAAAAGATGTAAGCAAAAAAATGGATAGAAAAAGAAAAGTAAAACAGCCTCCCCCAATGCTTTGACTTATGCAAAATAAAATTTCTTAAACAACTTGGGTCCTATGTGCCTTATATGATCATTGTGGATAAACCACAAAAATGTACCAAAGGAGAAAGACAAACCGTAACACTACAAGCTTCAACCTTTAACAATGATACATCAAGAGTGGCCAGTCACGCTAGTCAATCAACCAGAATTTCTAAGTCTCCTCCAGTATATTGATCTGGGGCTACAGTAATGTATTGCCCAGAACTCCACATTGTACATTGCTCATTTCACCGGCATGCTATTAGAGAGTATAACTGTCAAAAGTAAAATAATGAAAAAATACCCTATTAGAGCAGCTAAGCACTCTTACACAGGTCATCTAGAATAACTTTATCATAATACATAACCAAACCATCAATAGCTTTTCATATTCTTCCAAGCAATTATTCTCTTTCATTCAGCAGAAAGAACAGCAATTATCTGCCATTTCGATCATTTATTTTCTTATTTTTCACGACTTCATAATTGGAGAAACACAAATAGCATCTAAATTCAAGTTCGAAGTCCTAGGAAGCTAGGTGTTATATGGCATCACTTGTTCTATTTTAGCTATTTTAGGTCTCCACAGGACTGGGACCTCGACTTACACATCGCAACACCTTGCGAACAGACATTTGGCATACCAAAAGGGCAATGGGGAAGATAAAATAAAAGAACAACTGAAACAGGGGAAAAGAACATAAAAGAAAGAAAGTTCCAAAATAAACCAATGCTGTGCCTGTGTAAAACTTATTCTACCTCGTCCCTAGAGAGCACAAGCAAGATCAGAAGGTGAGAAATATTCCTAATTGATTATACAAGAACACCCAAACACTAAAATTCTGCCAAAAATCATAAGGCATTAAATAAAGTGGGATGGAGTGATTTGTTTTTTCAGATAAAGCTTATTGTTAAAATTGCACCAACAATAATGCACATAATCGGGACTCTACCATCAACGAGGTCGGTAGCATCTCAAACTCACGAAATGGTGGTGACTATTAAACCAAACTCTAATGAATTCGCAAGACATCATTCTAAGTGGTGGTGCATATTAATCTAGTAAAATGGACCAGGTTATATCTTCTCAATATGTAAAATGGATTCATTGCAAAAGACTTCTTTGTTCTTATTCAAGAATAGGCTTCTATTTTGTAACTTGTTTTCTTTGTTTAGATGTACCATGGACCAGGTTTTTTCACTTATCATTCTCTAGCTAGGTTGGATGTATCGGGGAAGTCTATTGACTTGGGATTATTGCTGAAGTTTGATAAGTTTTTCCTGGATTTCTAATAAAATTATTTATTTTGCTGATCAAAAAAAAAAAATCTAGTCATCCATCAGCACTCTGAGCACACACAGCGTCACATACCATGGCAATAGGAGTCTCCATTAGAAACAAACCGCCACCTAGAGGTCCAAATTATACATAATTAAAAAGTAGCCAACAATAGGAAAAATAAATTATAGAGAATCCTGATTGAGAATGAAATATGAGAGAAGTGTACCTGGAAACAGCAGAATCCTCCCAACATCTCCACTCTCTGGTCACAGCTTGATCACCAAATACAATTTTATGACTCTCACAACAACCCCTTAGAATCTTGAGCTGCAAAACACGTATCAACATTGAGTTTCTAATTTGACATAGAGCCTCCACTTAACTCAAGAAAGCTAAAATCCCAACCATTTGGGACCGGCTAAGGAAATTCATATTTGCCATGAATCTGTATATATACCATCTTCTTCAATAACAAGAATATTCTTATGTCAATAACTTTCCAGGTCATCAAAGCTTTAGATGAAACAAATTTTTGCTCAGATTAAAAGAACTCATGCAAAATCCTTTCAATGAGGAGACGAGCATAGGAAGAAGCACAAAAATAGTTAAAGAAAAGAAATCCAAACAAGAGAAAAGCACACATGATAAACTATATCCTAATTACTTTAATACCAAACTGAAAGGAAAAAACGTCTATCTATAGAATGAAGTTTTGCTAAACCTCACCTTAGTCAAGGAAAAGCTGGACACAGAAATCTGCTTCTATGAACTCAAAGAGGCATGGATCACCATCATGGCCAAATTTCAGAGTTCAGAATTCTTGACTATGTCAGAGTTTCCTCATTGAGACTGCTTCCCTTAGAAATGACCAGCAATGTTGTGCCCTTAATAATCCAAGCAGTCATTTCTGGTTGATGTTCTAAAGCATTAAGAGGAAGTGTCTTCCCATCCTCTAGTTGCACACCATACACAAATGGTAGTCTTAGCGTAAGGAAACTTTCTGGCGGTAGGACCACTCGACATCCAAGACTAAACTGCAACTTTTGTTCACGGTCTGCAATTGATGGCGGCAAGCATGACGCCTTTAGAGCAAAAGATTACCAAAACATTAGGAAACTATACAGCAAAAGCGACCGGTATCATCAGATTTACAAAAAAAATAATGTATCAATGCCAAAAATGATAATTGGAAAGAAAAAACTGTCAAGCAAAGACAAGAATAAAAAGATGAAAGAATGAAATCTTAAATGCTATTCAAAGACTTCTTCATTGGCATCAACATAAACCAGGAAGTCCATAAAGACATCTACATATGACATCGATCATGGTTTTAAACATCAAAAGTAATGTAGCATATACAACCTTAATGGTGAATCACCACAACAATGATGCATTAACTGTAACCATTATCGCCATGGCAGATTGACACATCTACACTGACCACAATGTAATATATGTGCAGTTCTTCAGGTAGAAAAACATAAAATTTCATGCTTACATAGTTAAAATCTTAAATAAAAAAAGACGTACCTCAAATTGTACAACAGGGCATGTTGCTAATACAACTGGAAATGGAGGTGTGACCTACAATTAGATTCCATAAATTAGGCATTTGATAATTCAAAGTATTTTAAAATCTTCACCAAGATACAAAAACAAAGTCTTTCAGTTTCCATCACTTGAACCCCCAAAAGAAGTTAAATTATGACTGCGCTAAACCATATCAAAATTGACAATACAAAGTTAATTAGTTCATTCTAACTTCAATTCATGATCTAATAGCATTAGAGATCTCTCAGCATGCGAATATTGTATGTATGAACAGTGTTGCTCAACATAAATCTAAGGCACAAAACCCCAATGCTGATGCACCTCCAAGTCCCTGGCTGAGATGCATCACTTAGCACACACCCAGGAAGAGTGTTTACATGCAAAAATTTGTGCATAATGTATGAAATAGGAAAATAGGAGCAGCCAATTGTTTCCCTATATCAATAGAGTACCTGAACAGTCTTGAAGAATTCTATGAAATATAAAATAGGAAAACGAAATAAAAAGAAATGCTCAGAGGACAAGACAAAAGTAAGCATATTGGAAAAATCATATTCTTACCTTTGCAAAAGTGATTGGGTTGATTTCAAGCATCTATGACTAATTCTTGAACTCTCTTCTAAATATTCTTTACAAAGCTTCCAATATAAGTCAGTACATTCTATTCAAAAAGTATGCACCTCACTTTGCTTAGTCTTCCTCCTATACTTGCCTAGGCTCCATCAGCCATTAGTGCTGAAGTGCACATATCACTTTTAATTACCTCGTGTATGACTGATCATTCTACAAGCTACGAATTGTATTCTTAGTCAAACTAAAGCGAGGACTTCTCATGACTATTAATTGTAACAAACCCAAAAAAAAAAAGTTTATGGAAAGCAGAAATTATAGTTTCTTAAAAAAAACTTTTGACTACATGCTCAACCTCAGGAATATTTTACCACTGGTTTAGCTTAAGGATAACAACTCTAATATTCCGAGCAGATATTCAGCTTGTCAATTGTTTTAACTCTTCAAGCACCAAAGACAGTGAATCATTTGAATCATTCTAGCAGATTCATATAGCTAGAAAAGGAGTTGACTGTACCAATAGCCAACTGTTTTGGCAACAACAAGAACACAGAATTTCAGCTCGTATAATCCAAGACAACCAATCCCTCAAATCGCATCATGCATTTCCATGCATCACAGTCCATATTTATAAAGCATCCAACACTTCTCCATTAGAAACAATATGAAGCACCTATTTGTTTAACAATATTTATGCAATAAGCTAAATATTTTCAACAGACCACCTACAGAAAGTATGGAGCTTTCAAATTCCATAAGGTTAAACAAGCATAAAAAGGACCAGCACTCCTATTTCATTGCAAATATCAATCCTCCTATGGACTGAAACAAATTTCAGGTTCTGGATACAAGATAACCCAAATTGAAAAAATAATTCTGTAAGTTTAAGGAAATTGAATAAAATAAATGAGAAGGATATAAGCAGCAGCATTACATACCAAAAAAATCCTTTGCAACTGCGATACTGTACCAGCAAACTTAATCTTTTGTAGATCCTTCTTGTTCTTGGAATGCTTGCAGTATGGACAGTTCATGTATACTGGTAAATTTCTATTCAACATGGAGAAAGCACTTCCACCATCATCGAGGCTAATAGAATGGAAACCTGCTTCAAGATTTTTTACAGAATCTATATATGTTGGTTCGTTTGTAGATGTTTGATTCCATTCCTTCCCTGCTCTGGAGAATGGTGTCAACGCATCAACATATAGACCACTGTTCACCCTTTTTTCTTTTGACTTATCCACATTGCGAACCTTACTCATGGCAGCAACATGTGCACCCTTTGAGCTCCTATGAGCTCTGCCATGACCACCATTCTTACCCACGTTTGAAGTATTTGCCAGATTATGGTCTGATGTTTCCACAGAAGGGACTTGAGAATCTTTAGGAAAAGAATATGGGGATCCTAGCTCATCAAGGTGATCCAGACTTAACAAAAAACGGTGGCCATGCGGACACTCATGCTCAAGACCAACATAAACAACTGAATGTTTCAAATTGGGATCCAGTTTAACCATTTCACCACCATTAATGCTCACAGGAACTACATTACTCCCAATTTGCACATAAGGGTCATCATGTGCACCACCACTGCTAGACATTACATTTAAGCTTTCACGACCAGGTAAGATATCCTCAAACTTTTGAGATCCTTGATCAACATTCATAACCTGTTCTATGTTCCTATCTCTTATGTTATTTTGTTTGAAACCTCTCTCTGACCCTGATGATGGCTGTTTTGTTTGCTGGAGTGGGGGAAATCCTGAATCAGCAGTTGATGATCCAGCAACTACCTCAGAAAAAGGTTTTCTCATCGTTAAATTTGGTATCATTCTACCAAAACTAACTTTTTTATCATCAATCTTGCTGTATTCCGAGAGTTTCCTTTGATTTTCAACCCCAGACTGTAGATCTCCTGAGTACAACTGAGTGGAACCAACTTTCTTTCTATCTATCTCAGCATCAATTTCAACCTGGGGATCTGTACTTTGCCTCACAGAATTTTGTCTTTTAGTTTTGGCAGGCAAACCATTTGAGTTCACTGGTTTCTCCAAAACTATTGTCCATTTCAAGAGAAACTTTTGTGAGGCAGAAAATCCACTCTGTAGCAAGCCCTTAGACGGTTCATAATACCTTGCCCCCCCAACACGAATCAAACTCCAAGAGGTTGACTGCACAGGTCCAGCATTGCTTTGCTCAGGTAATTGGACTGCAGGAAGTAGTTTGTCACAGTCTTGAAAGCAATTAGAAGTAACATTTGCTGCGTCAAAGTCAAAAGGATCCGGGCGTAACTGACGTGTGCGACCACAGGCACAAGCATGAAGGAAAAAATATCCACTTGAATGGGGCTTCACTGGGGCTCCTGTAGGTGACTCTTGCTTATCACTACCAATATCATGTCTCTGGTGCATACATGGTTTTCCTGTCAAACTAATAGCATCACATAGTTGTCTACCAGATTTCCAAATGGACATGCATTCATCCTCCAGCATTTTTGCAAAAAGCGGGACTGCAGATCCTCTGACCATTGAGTGGAAAGCACTTAAAGCCTTTTCTAAATGGGCCTTGTGCTCTGATGTGGGATAACAAGCAGGTAAGTCCTTCAGATAAACATCCTTGGCAGTTGAAAGGGTCCTTTCACACCATAAAGTCGAAAATTTTGTGTTCAGTCCTCTGCCACTATCCAACAAAGAAACTGCAACATCTACAGGGTCCATACCTCGTGCAGCAAACCCTTCAACTTGGGTTGGACCAAAGTTTCGTTGTCGAGGTTTCCTTTTACCAGCTTCAGTTTCATCTACACTCCCACGTTTGGCGGAGAGAATTCCAAGTAGAATAAGTTGGCTTGATGACAACCATGTTTCCAAACTCGGAAGTTCAGGAGTAGTATATGTCTTTCCAGATGCAGCTGAGGCTGCAGCAGCAGCTGCAGCAACAGCAACCATACCTACACCAGCTGCTGGACCACTGTTACTGCCAGTGACCAGCCCCCCTTTACCTCTCAGAATATCAGACTGTCTATAAATGAACTCCTTTATGGATAAGATGTCCTCCTTGTTTGCATTCTGACCATGGCTTTCAAGTAAAAGTGAATCTGAGGTTGCTTTTCCACTCAAAACATCTTCCACAAGGTCGGTAGCAAACTCTAGAGCTTCTCCTTTCTGATTTATCAACCTGTCAAGCAGCACAACCGCCCTTGATGCGTCAAGTGAAAACAAAGGTGTAGAACTTGAACCACCTCCACTTCTAGAACCAGCATGACCACTTTCAGAACCTGAGAGCGTTCGGCACTTCTTAATGAGAAAACGAATCTGTGCTTCAAGAGATGACTGCAGTTTCTTCCTGAAACCACCTTCAGATTTACTAACAGGGCGTGCTAGCACAACAACTGAACCAGAACTCTTAGTAGGTAAGCTCGGTCTAGATACACTAGTCAAACTAGAAGACTGATTAAGTGAGGAGACATCTTTTGATTCCTCAGTGTTAGAATTAGGATTAGGTATATCAAAAAAATCATCAACAAAGACAAAGAGTATGACTGGAGTACAATGTCCAGGAAACAACGATGTGTAGGAACCTAAACCTGACATGAGAGAGATAGCAGAAGCATTATGACTCATGACTCCACCACTTCTCCCTGGAGAGGAACTGGTAGAAGGGGTTGGCCTAGAGGAAGATGAAGAAGAATGAGACCTAGATGGCAATGGTAGGGCAGTCCTGGATCTTAGATATGGAGCTAATGCATGCTTGGATGCTTGTAACACCCTAAACTTTTTCAAAATATGAGGGTCGAAGCGTGACATCTCCTGAATATAAATAATTACATGGCACACCTGCATTGCTAATTGAGTCATTTATCAGATATATAACCCATATTATCAAACTTGCATTAAAACCTTAAACAAAAACTTCAAGTACAAAAATATTCGATTCAAGGATTTCTAAATTTTTGCAATATTTTGCAATATTTTGGTGAAATTTTGTCCCATCCCATCATATAAAATGCTAGTTAACTATCTAACAGAGGATATTAGTTTATATATTTTGTTAACAGAGCCAAACATATGTACTATAACATGAAGCAAAACATTTCCATCACCTAATTAAACAAATCTAATATAGACTATATCCATACAATTCTACCCTTGTTTTGTAAATGATTAAAATGAATTAAGCATATATCAATATTCCACAAAAAGCCACTGTCAACATATAGCTAACTAATCTCAAATGAAATTTAAACAACAAAACAGCAATTGCTTAAAAAAAAGTAATAAGTAATCAATAACCAAAACTAAGAGATGAACTTACAGAGAACATGAAAAGCAACCCCTGAAGCTCCTCAAACTCCCGCTCTTCTAAAGCGGAGTCAAACCCGGAACCCGTACCGGAAGACCCATGAACAGCTGGGCACCGGGTTGAACAAAACTGCAAGAACAAGATTCCTTTATCCTCTTCATGGTAATAACTTATTCTCCTCCAGTTGAACCAATCTCTCAGTTCGTCTTTATCAATAAACAGTAGTTTGTCGATGTTACCCGACCCAAATGTGTTGGAGTCAAGAACACGGTTAATGAGCTGAGAACAGCAGTCGGGGCTCCGCGAAATAAATCCAACAACTACTACGCCTTCTAGAGAGCGAGGCTGTGATTGAGAAGATGGTTGAGCATCTGGAGTAGAAGTGGGTATTGGTGCGGGTGCAGGGGCAGGTGGGCGGGTCAAGACCCGCATGGAGGGCCGGTTGGAGCTCGTTGAGTCCATGAAGAATGGAAGATGAGAGGGAGAAGGATTACTAGGGAAGAAGCTTCATGAAGTTAGGAGTTTGATCGAAGTTATGGGTCTTGTTTTTCTGCGGAGAATTATAGAAAATGAAGCCTTGTTTTGAAGTGCATTTCTCTATTTTTCAATATTATACATTCCGATGACTCTTTTGGAAGAAAGAACTGAAACATGAAGTTATCCAATTTATTAATTATTTCCACATTACATTAATTTTAACTGTTTTTTTCTTATTTTATTTTAATAATTATTTATTTATGTTCAATCAATATAGTTAAATTTTAAATAGAAAATTAATAAACCAATTATATTAATTTTGTATGTTATTTTAATAATTTTTATATTCTATTTAATAATTGATAGAATTTAAATTTAAATAAACCAATATAATCTATCAAATTAAATTACTTTTATTTTTTAACTAATAAAATTAAAATTCTTAAAAATATTTAATAGGGATATTTTGATTATCTATAAAATTAAAAGTCTTGCTCGGATGTGTTTATAAATTTGTTTCAGCTTTGCCCTCCATTTAACCAAAAAAAAAAAAAAAAAAAAAAATTTATAAATTGTTTCAGCTTTGCCCTCATTTAACCAAAAAAAAAAAAAAAGATAAAAAAAAATCTTGAATTAAGTTTGGTATGTTTTGTACTTTTATGACAAAGCAAGCTGATTAAACTCTTAGCCTATTCGGTATGTTGATAACCTTTTTTTTGGACCCAAGACAAATTATTCATCACTGAAAGAAAATTTTGTATTGATTAGCATGTTAGTGCTAAAGGATTTATATGGATATAATTTAACTTGTATATTTATGGTTCAATCAAGGAGTCAGTTATAAACTGCAAATTGTCTAGTAGTGTAGGGCTTCTACTTCAACAGAGGGCATTCTCATTTTTACGGTTTGAATTAGTAATTCATTAATAATAAAAAAGGGATATTTACTATACTTCTATATTCTTGTTTATCAGTGAAGTTTTAGGTGGGATGTATTTAACTTTTATTTTATTTAGTGAAGATTTATTAAATTATTGTAAACTATTTTTAACTTTTTACTATAAATTTCAATTTATAAGCCTTCGTTCTTTTTATATTAGGAACAATTTTTAATATTTTCTCAAGATTAAGAATGAATACTTTAACATTTTTTTTGTCATCTTTTTTCCTATTTGTAATACTTGTATATCTCATTTATTCATTCTTCTAATTCAATGTATGTTATTTAATTTATGTTTCAATCTTCAATGAGGGTTTTTAAATATTTTTTAGAATGAATGTGAACAAACAGTTTGCAAAAAAACTATTGTCACTCGAACCCGATTCCATGTGGCGGACCTTCTGACACTAGGGTCCAGGTAAGCTTAGGGCCCCCTAAGGCGCACGTGTAGTAAGCTGAACCACTTAAAAATTTCTATACTTCAATATAATTTTAAACAGACCCATATTATAGGAAATAAACTCTCAAAAAATTTTATTAATTCTCGGCTTAAATTTTATTCAGCTTTATAACCATTCACATCGTGGTCCAATTAACAATACATCACATTTTAATTATGGGCTCACAATTAATATCGTCTATGTAATCTACACGACTAATTTGTACGCAAATTCTACAACTATGCGGAGTCACTAACTGTTGATATAACATAGCTCTTATACATATGTTTACATAGCAAATAATTATGGAGCTAGGAAAACTTCTTTATAGCCCTGCGCGGGAAAGAAACATAACTTTAAAACCGAAATTAAAGAGAAAACTTACTTCCTGAAAAATTAACAAGACCATGTGAGTTTCTAAGGGAGTATAATTATTGCACATCACACGCAGTCACAAATGTGTAAACATTATCGAATCTAGTCATCCGACATAGTTTATGCTCACGCATAAGTTCCAGTCACACAAATGGCCACATCACCAGCAACTTAAACAATCAGTTAACATTCTTCATATAATCACACCACATGGAAATTGGTCCGTAGTGGTCACCGAACCCCCGATGAGCCTGTCCTCCCACATGGCCATCCTCACGTTGTGCACCGGAGCCGATCTTCCCCATTCTGGCCGACCAGTCAATCCTTACTGCCAGCCCTCTCATTGTTTTTCCATTTCTCTCTTTCTTTCATTCAACCTAATCAGGAGGCAACCCGGTCGTCTCCATTCAAATCTAGATCACAGGGCACCACAAGGTAGGTTCACCCTGACGGGCTGCGATCAAATCTAGATTATCAAAGTGCACCCATAAAGAAGCCAACCTTGGTTTCCATATATACAGATCACAAACAGTAGGTGCACCACGGGGGCGCCGATCTCCCATTTTCCGGCGGATGGCTATTTCATAATTCATCATAATCAGATCCTGCTATCGACCGTTCCTCACCAAAACCTGTGGTTGACCCACTATATTCCCAATTCCACACAAACAAGCACAATGCAATATCACTAACACATAATCAGTCATTGAATTAAATGCAGCATATTAATCAATTAAATCGTAATGCATATCACAATTAGACATCATTCTCTAATGCAATTAAATAATTAAATAATAATATTAACAATAACAACAACGATAAAATAAATAATTATTAATAAACAATGATAATGAAAATAAATAAATAATGAATATTAATGAATTTAATAAATGCGTAATGATTTATTTTTGATCTTACTAATTCAGTTTTATACAAAATTGAGATTGAGTCTATAGGGCATACCGATTGAAATTTGGGCGACGATTCCACGTCCGCGCGAAGAGGAAGAACATTGATGTTGTTCCCTTGGTTGCTATCACCGGTAGAAGGCTTCGCCAGACCGCCGCCGTCGCGTGCCGGTCCATGTGGCTGGGAAAAGTTGGAACCGCCCAGAATGACCATTTTCTTCAACGCCCACCCCCACTTCAAATTTCAATCGATAGGATGTCCGTTTGTGATAGGTTGTGCGAGGTCGGTCCTTCCATCTTAGCTTGAAATAGCCCCCCTGACCATGTAGCTTGGCGCCGCCATTAATGGTGGTTTCGGCGATTTCTTCAATTCAGATAGTCAATTCTTCGGAGGGGATAATGTCGTGTGGATGAGAGGAGTCGTTTAGGCCACTCCCTCAGCACTTGAAGTCGACGGAATTGATCGAGATTTCGCCGGGATAACTCCATTCTACTGCGGTGGCCAGGCCTCCCAGTTCGGCGATCTCTTCTCAATTCCAGCCCTTATCGCTGCGAACCAAAAGCCACAGAGAGGACAGTTCATTCGCGAGAGGATTCAAATGTAGTGCTATGTGTCGAATGTTCCATGGCCGGTGGCGGAGACGCAGTGAACCAGCGAGAACGGGGGCTGCGCGCACCTTCCCAGAAGAAGAAGGAACAACGAGAGGAAGAAAAAGGGCTAAGTCCCGATTTTCTTAGATTCATTTCCGCCTTGATTTTCGAACTGATTTTGGTTCTGATTCATGATTTGGCTCCGATTTTTGCTCGATTTGCGGGTTTTTCACTTGGTTTTTTAGAAAATTCAAGCTGTGTTTTCGACAAACATCAATTGATTTCGGGTCCGGTTCGGTTTATTTTGGTTATTTTATTAGGTTTCCGTAACATTCTTCCACTAACTATAAAAAAAATATATTAATTGTAATTCATATTATTTGATTTCTTTGGAAAATTTATTTATAATTTACCATAATAGATTAATTGTTAGAGTTTCATTTTTATTACTCAATAACTTAAACTGTTCTCAATGTTCAAAAATTTTCGAATTTATTTGGGCTTGGGCCCAATGTGCAAAACTTGAAACTAAATTAAGATTGTTTCTATTTACTGGCCATACCGTCAAAAATTTGGGATTTGTTATTAATAAAAAATTCAAAGTTTTAGAAATTATTACGGGGTGGTTTCCATTTATTTCTAACTTGTTGTACTTTGTTAGAAATGAAGTGATACAAACAGTTGCCCAAATTGAAAGTTTATGCTCTTGGACTTGTGGAGGAAATGTTTTTATCATTTATTTGGGGGAAATGTAATGGAAATATGAAAATTTTATGGTTATTTACTTTCCAACTGTAACATCCTAACTGAATCGATTCGGCATAGAGTCGAAGTCGAGTTGGGCCGAACAAGAACCCGGTTCGAGTCCATTTAAATCCAGAGTGGGGGGTAGAATGGGATTAACTTAATAAGTAAAAGAAGTGTGACTTACTTGAATGAAACCTAAAAAAGATTCAAAGTATTAGGAGGTAGGATTTACTTGCACTAAAATATAAGTTTAGGTATTAAAATATAACATATGGAATATATTGACGTGTCTATTGGTAATTTTTACCATCACAATCAAAGATAATTTGACTACGACGGAGACTTCCCATTCGAGGTTTGCCTTCTATTTTTCTTCTATCTTCATTTCAACGTCTTCTTCATTCTTTCATTTCTCTCTTCATTCCTTTTTCATCTTTCTCTCATCTCCTTCCTTTTCTCCATCCATTTTCATTTGTTGATTTATAAACACTAATTCAAACTAGAACTCTTATTCCCCAAGTAAAGTAGCCCTTCTTGATTTTCATACTTTGGTGATATTTTAGATGATTTCTAAAGTTATTATTGTATAGGAAGAGGGAACCAAAGTTGAGAGAAAAGGGAAAGCTAAGAAGGGATTTAAAGCTCTTTTGGTTGAAGGTTTGATATCTCTTTTAGTTTTTCACATTTTCTCATGAAAACTTGTGTAGTTTGTTGTTGATAATAAAACATTATATTGCTGAATGTTGAATTATCAGGGTCTGTAAAATTGTGATAAAGCATGGGATGAAATTGAATTAATGAAGTACGATATTATTTCATGCTGAACCATTTGTGGACCCATTACCAGTAACTTCACCCTGTATTTTGGACTCTGTTTTAAAGATGGAATATAGGGGAAGTGTTTAAGAAGAGTTATTGTTCCTCTTGTTGATCTGTCCATTTGAGTTTGAATCACCTAATTTGGAGTTATAATTGAGAGATATGACCAAAATTAGTACAGGGTACTGTGCAGGCTGGAATCAACAGTCTGGACGGACTGGGAAGTTGCTCATTTGGTTAAATATTTGCAACCCTTTACCAACGAATTAGAGATTGGTAGAGACATAATTTGTAGCCTAATCGTGTGGTGGACGCTAACCATTAGACG